ACCGAGTACACAGCGCTCCTCAAATACTGGTATGCTCACCAGACAAACCGGGTGAGATGGGTCGGTACCCTCTCGGATGAGTACAGAATGGAGTGTGGTGTGAGGCAGGGGGGGTTAAGCTCACCTCTGTTGTTTAATTTATATATGAACCAGCTTATCGAGCGACTGAGCAGCACACATGTAGGCTGTCACATAGACGGCACATGTGTCAATAATTTAAGTTACGCGGACGACATGGTGCTGCTCAGTCCTTCGATAGGTGGACTGAGAGAGCTACTATCGATCTGCGAGACGTATGCGGAGATGCACGGCCTTAAATACAACTCTAAAAAGAGCGAGATTTTAATATTCAAAACGCAAAAACAACAGTCACGCCGTGTAGCTCCGGTATATCTCAATGGCGTAGTGCTAAAAGTTGTTGAGAAGGTCAGGTATTTAGGCCATATTGTCACCAGTGACCTTCGCGATGACAGCGACATAGAGCGGGAGCGCAGGGCGTTGGCGGTGAGGGGCAATATGCTCGCCCGTAGGTTTGCTCGCTGCACGGCAGACGTTAAAGTGACTTTATTTAAAGCGTTCTGTCAGTCCTTCTATTCGAGCGGCCTGTGGGTGTCATATACAGAACGGGCCTACAACGTCCTGCGCGTACAGTATAACAACGTCTTCAGGATGCTGTTGCGGCTGCCGCGGCATTGTAGTGCATCGGGCATGTTTGCCGAAACACGCACCGACGGGTTTCATGCTCTCATGCGTAAAAAATCGGCTTCCATGCTAAAGCGCTTGCGAAATACCCGGAACAGCGTCCTGAAGATGATTGCTAGTAGGCCAGACTGTCCTATACAAAGGCATTGGGTGGCAATAGCAATAGGAAAGCATAGTTGAATGCCTTTCTACTATTAAGTGCCGTTACTAACAATACTAATATAGACGTTAAGTACTTTCTGTTTCTAACCCATTACTAAACAACCTATGGACTGTATATGTCTGAAATAAAATTATTATTATTATTATTATTATTATTATTATTATTATTGAAAAGGAATTGAAATAGTATTGTAAATTTGATACAGTTACGTTACAATAAATTGTTAAAGTATTATTTTTTTGTTTTCTCAAAAAGTGTAGTGAAAAGTGGGCAATACATAATGGCATAGTAAAATTTCCAACATAAAAATCACTTTACAAAGAAAACCGTGTAAAAAGGATGTGAGCGTGTCTTAACTTGGTATATACACGATAAGATTTTTTGCTGAAATTGTAACCATGTGTGTGACTTTGGGGACGCTCTGGGTCCAATCTACCGCCAATGTTACAGATACGCCCTGTGATGTCACGGGTTTATATAGGCACTGGTGACAAGACAAACAAAGAAAAAGAAACTCATGACTTAAAGAAGAAACCCCATAGCACCGACCCCAAATAAATTTCAGGAATGTTTCAGGAGTGATTAAAGGAATGTTTGAGAAGATGATAATAATGATGGTAGCTTATGACTTAAGTATAACTAATGAAATAGAGATCCCCTCATTCTCATAAGTTTTAAGAACGCTGACTTTGATTGGGCAGAGTTACGAGTTGATAAGTTATCTACCATAAGATATTACATAATGTTTATTTTCGAAATTAGTTACCGATATTTGTGCCATAATCACGGATGAACTGGATGAAAATGAACATGGTAAATATCCCATTAAAGTTATCAAGTAAAAATGACCATTTGTATATGTTAGAGGGGGTAGACAAGCAGACGGGTCACCTGATGGAAAGTGACTATCGCCGACCATGTGAACGTCTGCAACTCAGGAGTCACAAACGCATTGCCAGCCTTTTAGGAAGGTGTACGCTCTTTTCTTGAAAGTTTGAAGGTCGTATCGGTCCGGAAATACCGCAGACGATAACTTGATCAACAGATTAAATGTACAAGGCAAAATGCGTCTTAAAAAGCACACAGTAGTGGAGCGCCAGTTATCCAGGTGATGGGGATGAAAAATTTGCCGTGTGGAAAGATGGCGGAATGTTGCGGCCGGTATTAGTCAAAAAAATTGCTTGGAGCACTCTCCATGGTATATACGTTAAATAATGCAGAGTGAAGTCACATCTCTACGTAATGCCAAGGAATCGAGCCGATCGGAGATCTTAGGGCTACTGATGATTCGAGTCGCTCTTCGTTGGATGCGGTTCAGAGGGAGAAGCAGATACTAAGGTGCCCCGGAATAGACACGAGAACAGTGTTTCATATGCGGCCGGACTTCTGTCTTTTAGAGCTGAAGGCGGTGGGCCGGAGTAAAATACTGCCTCGATCTGTTCAGCACATCGAGCTTCTTCAAGGCCAATTTGATCTTACCAAGGTATTTTAAATCAATACATGGTAACGATTGTTAACCATGAGAAAGATAGGATCTCTTCTTTCCATTTAATTTCTTATTGAAATTACTAAACTATAGACATATATCTAACTCAGCCTTTAGCAAGTTAAGGTTGAAAACATAATCAAACATGCATAAGATATTCCAGCATACATATATATATATATATTACATTATCTTATGTAGTCACGTTTGTATTTCTATATCCTCTAACGGTAAGCAGAGGTATGGGTATATTCACCTGCCTGCTGCCACCAGATATAATACATTGTAACTCCACTACATTCATGTGGGGACGGATTAAGAATACGGAATGTCGCCACCCCTATTCATCCCGTGAGTGTCGTAAGAGCAGACTAAGGGAGCAAACTACGCTGGACAACAGCACTGCAAAGAGAAGGAAAACTATAACTATACCAATCCGTCTGGCCAGCGTGGTATAGTAGGCCAAAACCTCCTTTCTAATGAGAGGCCTATGTCCAGCAGTGGACTTTTAAAGGCTGTTAATGATGATGATTACATCTAATTAACAATTAGTATGTCACGTCACTGGTATACAATATACAGGGACACATTGCATTATGACAAACAGAGGAACAATTAAGTAGGAAGTACCTAGTTCATTGCTCCTCCTGTAATGTGTTGATTGATATCCAATAACACAAGTATATCCAACAAGATTTTTTTATTAAAAGACCTCAACATCACATTTATTTATGTAAAAGTATCAAGCCTATTGCTGTGAACCGTAACAGTAAAATCATAGTATGAAAATCTCAACATGACAAAACACTTGGACATAATATATGTATCGCCTACACGATAATTCAACAAAAAGTTTCAATGTAACTTTACCCCAATATAACTTTTACCATCCGTATTTTAATAATTTTTACCATAATTGAAACCAATGCGCTATTCGTTATCTTTGTATTTTATAAATATCTTATATATGTTGAGAGCAAATGTTGATCATTTTACAAGTTTTTACTAAGGTTGCATATTTTAAAAACATCAAAATGTCAATGATCTCCACATTTGCCATTAAGTAATATAGACTTGCAAATTACTGAATCTAAATGTTGTTTACTAGTAAAATAACAGATAAATAGTTGTAAAATAACAGATATACAGATCATGCCAATATACACTAAAAAGCTCTAGCTAGCTTTTTAGTGTATATTGGCATGATCTGTATATCTGTTATTTTGTCTTGTTATATATTATTGCTACGTATATGGTACTAACCCTATGATGTATGTACACGGCATAGCAATTCGGGTCTGCAACTGATTTTACGCATAGCGTCATTTCTGGCCCAATTGAACACCAGCGTCAGGCTTTCATCTGACACAAAGCTGAATTGGGCGGTGGTAATGCAAGCTGCAAAATTGTATGAAGTGTTGTGCTATTGTCAAAATAAACGTTTTTTTCTTTTCTTTTCTTTTCTTTATCTCGTAAGCTAACTTCGTCTACTCTCTCAAGAGGAATAAATTTTCCCCGTTTCCGCAACATTTTTTTATGTGAATTTTTAATGTTAGGTTCCTATCGGTTGTCGCTCGATAACCTGATTGCGGCTATCGAGCGGAGCGAGAGTACGTGGAACTCTGCCGTCTCCTTCTGCGAGCAAGTTATGATTACGAAGGAGATGGCAGAGCGGGACCGGGAGAGGTTCAGAACTCTCCCAGCCCGCCAGGCTCGGGAACGGGCCAGGTACCGCAGACGACTCAGGCGCCGGAGGTCGCATAACGACCTCCGTCCTCCTTAAGCGCAGGCCTGGGGGTGACAGGTGAGGTTATCTGTCACCCTAGCAGAAGTAGGCCGGGGAGCACAGAGGGAACATAGGGGTTCCCACACAGGGGGGGTCGTCTACCCGCCGTAGATGGCCCGAGGTACGTCGGGGCACCAGGGATTTCCTTTCTAGGGTACACCTGGTTCCCCGACTACTGGTGCCTGAGACGGTGTGCGGTTTTCGAGTCCGACATTGCCACCGGTAAGTGGTATCCGAGGGGATTTCCGCACAGAAAAAAAAGGCTCCTATCGGTCGTAATGTGATGTTATATAGGCCTTTCTCTAATGGCTATCCAATAGTAAAATATTTTTTCAATCGAACCAAGTGGTTGCTGAGATTAGCGCGTTCAACCAAACAAGCAAACTTTTCAGCACATAGTATTAGTATAGATGATATTTCATACACACATAAGAACCAATAAATGCTTTATTTTACATACTGGCCCTCAGAATATTCGATTCTCAGCCTTTTCAATTCCAAATGTTTTGAGTTAATTAAGTGTAACAGAATTGTTTGTTTATATTGTTTGATCATATCTATGTATCTTGATTACAACCATAATGAGGCCAATGTAGATAACAATCGTTATTTGATAATTGTTGGACTATAAACGATGTCGCTAAAGCTAGAAACTTTCTCCAAAAAGTTTATAATTTGGCATGTATTTACGAAAAACTATGGTTTTATTTTTAACTGTTATCTCATTTTGATGTATGTACGATTCAAATTTGTGATAAGTAATCACATTTACAGCAGCTGTGAGTTTTCTGTTATACCAATTTGATACAAGACTTATAAGAAACCTTAAAAATACATTTAGAACAACATAAACAAATACGAACCTCAAAATTTCCATAATTGCGTCATATACACTATTTAAGTTCTCAACTCTGGCTAATTCACAGATTAAAAATGCACACTCCCGCCAAAAGCTTGACTGATCGAATTTTGACAAACTTAAAATCCTTGATTTTTAAATCCAAATAAGCGATCCAGGCGCGTGTTGTGATACAGCCAAGCGCCATTGGACTAGCAGTTACATAACGTCGGGAGGCTGGAGTGATTAAAGTACAGTTACAAGACCTCGCATCGAACGATGATCTCGTCTCACGTCCGCTTGCTTGTTTTGTGGCGAAATGAGCTTTTTTCGCTTATTCACACCGTTAAAGAACATTTTTGAGATGCCGTTAATGGTAGCCTTGTTATTGATATGTGTTTTTGGTATATTTATTGATGTCGCAGAAAAAACGTAATAGGATGACGTTGCTTTTGAATAGTATCCGTTTCGGTCAGAATTTATTTGACCTTTTACTATCGGTATTATGAATCGTGATCTTGGAGCTCTGTATCTGATATCTGTATCTGACATTGCCACCTGCAGTGCTATTGATGTAAACATTCCAGAACTTTTTCATATCGGTCAGGTGCCACAGGTTGTGACCACCGATCGATTTGATGCGATTTATCGTGTTTAATGTCTCATGAGCCTTGGAGATTTTAGGGTTATATGCCAAGGCTGCTGTTAAGTTATATTGGACACTTCATCACAAATGGGAAAAAGAGGATTGTCGGTGGTGGTAGATTTCCGGGAAATTTTTTTGTAACAGAGAAGGTCTTGTTTATTTTTCAGGAGGTTTTGCTTCTGCAACATTGTTGACATTTCATGTGCCAAACTTTTTCCTGACGCCTATTGTGAGTAATGTGTTTTCAAAGTTTTCGGAGCATGTATCATGTTCCAAATCTCTTTGAGCTTCTAGGAAAGGAAGTTTTCTTGGAAGTGTCCACTATATACCAAGATGTTTGATAATATAAGCTTTATGCATGACCATGTAATCTATGAGTAGGAGTAATAGCGTTTAAACATGTAGTCTGGAATAGCAAAAATAGTGTTTCTGATATTTGAATAGAATATCAACTAGTGATGATGACACGACTCCAGCTAGGACTACAGAATACCACGCTTAACCAGCCTTGCTTAGGTAGTACTGTTTTAGCCGTCAAGAACTGTTGCTAGATTTCTATGCTTGACAGATGATACTATCATGTATGCTGATAATGGATCATTATCTTGGAGTGTATATTTTTATTAACCTTAATTAAAAAAAAACGTAATAGGCTTTACAGTAACCAAGATCTTAGTGGTTAGAAACCAATATAAATGAAAGAATGATCAATTTTTTGGTAACAGGAACAGTTTTGATGTATAACCGCAGAATCCAAATTGGAACCGTTAAATTTGTTTGGTCAGCTTTTTTGTCAAGACCATTGTCTGCGGTGTACAGTGTTACTTTAATTGGATTGCCGTTACAACATTGTTGCACATTAAAGTCATCGATAACTGGCTGGCTTGTTGGGAGATCGATGACAGAGTTTTTTATTTGCCAATTTGACGTTGAAAGAGGGGCATTGCAAATTTAAAGAAATAAAATGTTAGTAACGAAACTTTTTGGTTAAAAACGTTTTTCAAAGCTTGTTTGTTACATGAAAATGTTATCAAATAATATTGTTTTATCTTTTAAAAATAAAAACAAGATAATGACTAGTTAGTTCCTCAACTTGTCTTAACTTTTAATGGCTCTACAAATTAATACCTAACAGTTCTTACTATTTCTTGGTTAGGTAGAGGGGGTAACACAGCAGATAGTGGAGGTGAGCCTGACGCGGAGTACTCCCTAAGCCAACTCCTGGGTCGCAATTCTGTCGAAGTCGCATGTGTTGCCCCCATCTATCACTCAATAATAGGTCATTATGAAAGATTTAGAGTGATACCACGGTCTCTCAGAAAACCACTACTAGCAGTTCTTTTCTTGCTTTTCATCGAGCGAGTAATGTTACAGGAGCTCAAACCCCTCCCGATGTTCCTCTGGGGTTTGGTTCCAGTAACGTCTCTAATTCGGCACCCGTTTTCTTTGAGGCCGTGGTATCACTCTTGTTGAGCCGGCCCATTTGAGCTAAGACACGGTTTTGACTGTATTAAAAGTAAATCTACACAAATAAATTAAGTTGAAGTGTCTGTTTGTAATGTCAAAATAATAGGTTTATTCATGTACGGTTATTTGCCCGATACCTATGCCTAAAAACCAGTTTAAATATTAACTACTACTACTAGGTACCACCAGGTAGCTGTCGATATAAGGAGTAACTTAGGCTAATTTTCCTCTTTAATTAATTGAATGCTGCGGTAGGGGATAGGATGGCGGCCTGATTGCATTAAGACGAAATTGTGCCGCCACGTCCCGATTGAGGGGGAAGTGTTTTTCCCCTGGGATAGGGCCTGACTAGGCATGGTGTCAATTCGCGGAGGACCTGAAATAACATGGTCCAGGTCCTCCCAAAGTAGGGCACCTGAGGCCGGCGGTCGGGGTGGTTTTTAGTGGATTCACCACATCCTACTAACTCCTAACCCCGAGGAGCAGGAGATCCGAAATGAAAAAAAAGGCTAATTTTCCTATCAGATAAGCCCTATAAAATTTGCCCGGTCCGGGAATCGACCATTCTATACCACTAAGGCAGCGCTTTTAAAAATCCAAGAGATCGAAGTCGCGGTTACCAACTAGTTAAAACGAATAGACCTCCTTGTTCTCCAGCTCAAAACGGTGCAATTGAGACAAAACAGCCCAAGGCTAGCATACTTTGTATCACCGGACATGAGTGATTTATATCAACGGTTAAAGACCTTTGGTGTGAAAAAAAAAACAATGCCATTGTCACTGATAGTCTGAGAATTTCTGAACGAGATGAGTTTACGTTTAGAAACGGTAGTGGCAATTTTGTTTATGTACTCGTACCTACTGTGGCACAAAAAGTTTATGATTCGAATTGAATTTAATTCAATGATTGTGAGTGAAGCGCAACATTATTTTATGAGATCCCAGGTCATTTTGAAGTTAACGAAATATTTATAAAACTATATCATTTGTTTTTTTGTTTAAATACACACCCGCACTAGGAATATAATATCATGTGTCGTTACAAACATTCGTGAAACGGCCGCAAAGAACGCCCAGACTCAAAACAACATTTTGTAGTTTACTCTAAGTGTTGCTCCATGTAAGGATCTAACCCAGACAATTTGCGAGAAAGTGCCGAGGTGACCACTAAAACCGCTACGCCATTCTTGCAGTTTATTGCTTGTTGGCTTAATTTTCATTCTATATATTGAGTTTCGCCAACGTTTGTTTACACAAATATTATATTACAAAACGGCATTCATAGTTGACACTGGATGAGTGTTACAAACATTTAAAGGCAAACACAAAATGTCAATATGTATTTACTAGTTGTTTAACTTACAGTTTTTTCTTCTTAAATATTACGGCTAAACAAAGAAAGGAAAAACAACATAAGTCATTACTAACCATAATAATAATAATAATATAATAATAATAATAATAATAATAATAATAATAATATTGATTTGAAACTGTTAGCCTCCAACAAATTACAATTGACAAAGTTACTAAAGGTGACGGAAAACTTTAGTAATTCTATCAAAATGGAATTTGGTGTAGACAAGTGTGCAGTCATGTATGTAAAGAAGGGTGTGATAGTTGAATCTGAAGGAATAGAGCTTTTGGATTCAACAAAACTCAGATCTCTGTCTGCCACTGAAACTTACAAGTATCTGGGTATATCACAGTCGTTGGGAATACCAGAATCTAATATGAAACAAACATTGCAGGAACGCTTTTTTGGCCGCTTGAAAAAAGTACTTAAAAGTCTTTTATCAGGGGGCAACAAGGTGCGAGCCTGCAATGGTTGGGTCATGCCGGTTCTAATGTATTCCTTTGGTATACTTAGATGGACTCAGACCGAATTAGATGCCCTTGACAGGAAAGTCCGCACACTGCTGACTGCATCCCGAATGCACCACCCACGTTCATCAGTTATGAGATTGTATATCCCGCGAAAGCTTGGGGGTCGCGGTCTATTAAATATCAAGACCCTACATAATCGCGAGGTATGCAATCTCAGAGAATATTTTCTACATACCGACGTGGGAGTGCATCGCAATGTAGTTGCAGTGGATACCGGCTTCACCCCGCTCGCTCTGGCTAAAGAGAATTGGCGCAGACCTGTAGTACTTGGTGTTAATGATCGCAGGGAAGTATGGAAGGGCAAAGAGCTCCATGGTCGGTTTTATCGGGCCCTAAACGGGTCCGATATAGATTTAAAAGCATCTACGACTTGGCTACGGCATGGTGATCTCTTTGGAGAAACTGAAGGTTTTGTTTGTGCGATTATGGACGAAGTTATCATGACGAATAACTATCGGAAATATATCCTGAAAGATGGTACGGTTGACATCTGTCGGGCATGCCACCGTCCTGGCGAATCAATCAGGCATATTATTTCTGGTTGTTCTCGTCTTGCTAACGGAGAATATTTGCACAGGCACAACCAAGTAGCCAGGATCGTACACCAACAGCTTGCCCTTAAATACCATCTTGTGAATCTAGAGGTGCCATACTATAGGTATGTGCCCGACCCAGTTCTCGAGAATGGTCGGGCCACGTTGTATTGGGATCGATCTATTATCACAGACAGGACTATTGTTGCCAATAAGCCTGATATTGTGTTGATAGATCGATTAGAGCGCCGCGCAATGATTGTTGATATCGCCGTTCCTCATGACGAGAATCTCGTGAAAGTTGAAAAAGAAAAACAAATTAAATATTTGGATTTATCTCACGAGATTGTCGATATGTGGAATGTTGATTCAGTGATCATTGTTCCGATAGTCGTATCTGCTCATGGATTGATAGCCAAGAGCCTCGACCAACACCTTAAGAGGCTTACGTTGGATGGCTGGATCAAGGGTCTGATGCAGAAGGCAGTCCTCCTTGACACGGCTCG